AAAAGCTGAAGAAAAAATTCGATAAGTTGCCTGATGATAAAAAAGAGATATTTGAAAAGCTCGCAATGGTTCGATGATATTCCACAAAAACTTAATGTCTAATCTCATTGTTTTTTGTGTAGGAGTTGAATCCTTTCTTGTTATATTGTTATTGATTGTCTTCTCAGCTTCCCAAGATTGTTTTACTATATGTTCTAAACATCGGCGCGTTTACCTCTTTGTTTACGTTTCAAGAAAGAGACCGCACATGTACTCTAAGTGCGTTGATGGATCTCTATTACTGTCGTTACTGATTTGTTGTCATGTTTGAAATAAATGATATACCATGCAGTTCTTTTTTTCGTCAAATGTGTTCCAAACATAATTACATTTTGTGATTGCGCTGTTGTATAATTTTTAATGGCCAACAATATATCTTTCTAAATACATATGGGGAATGTTTTCAGATTATTAGTCAGTTTTAAACTAGAAGATTTGCTTTTCCATGGCGCTCATCATGGACCCTAAAGTAGAAGAGGTAAGCGACCCTTTTTTGCACGGTCTTCATTCATATAGGAGAAGACGGTTTTTTGAGCTCTTTGTTAGGTAATTGTTTCCCTGTCTGTATAAGCACGAAGCTTTAAGTGAGCGGCCTGGAAAAAAAACGTCCGAGCGTAATATGTGCACGTGTGGCTAACCGTCATTCAGTTTTACTGGAACTCAGGACGGTAGTTCCCAGACGGGCAGACGGTTGTGTTTACTGAATATTTCAAGTCAAGGGAACTTCTATAACGCGTCGGATCGGGATGGACCGTGTAAGGTGTAAGAAACGCTGCTTTTACGAAGGTTAGCTGTGGGTTAGCTTTAGTGGGGATCTCTCCCCCAACTCAGAAGTGTTCCATACTACGAACTTCACTCATTTACTGGTTTGAAGAGTGGAGGACTCCATTTGTTCGAAGTTTAGTTGCGGCAGTCTGTACGGGACACTAACAGTGAGTGGATTGCGCATGGTCCACTGACTACTTGAACTCGGTCCTTTAAACCGCCTCTCGCGGGTCACCTCTCCTCTCCAAGGCTTAGTCCTAGGTCAATCACCGGTTCTCTAATCGTCTGTGCTCTACACTCTGCGGCGGCACGGAACGCCAGGTGCAATTATCGTTTGAACGGATTCTTCCAACGGACGTCGAGGAGTGCGTCGTGCCCGGTCAGGCACGATCTCTCGTGAGACATTCACACATCGCCACTGAGCTGCCGTCCTGCGTCTCGTCCTCTTTTCACTACTCTCACATGGTAGAGAGCCATGGTCGAGGAAACCCTAGACCTTTATTCACCCTGGGCAGGACCATTGAAGAAAAAATCATGTAGTCCGTAAACCGATTGCGCTTAGGTCAACATCAATAGTCATACTCACATCTGGCTTCAGAAGGGAGAGGGCGTGCGGGGATTAGCTCTTTGGTGCTATCGGTTGGAAGCGCGGACGCGTGCAGGCAGCGCATTTGGCAACTGGAAAGAGATGAGCATCGCTTATACGATGAAGGCCTCGCGTGCTTCGTTTAGATTTGTGCGCCAGTGTTCCTTTGGTTGCAGTGGCGTAATTCCTTTCTTATTCTTATGTTTATTCTCATATTCTTCGAAACCATTTCTTCTTCCCAAGTATAGCTGCAAGCGGCATTTTGTTGTAAGTAGGCCTGAGAAAGGAGGCCGAATGTACCAGTTGTTAGAGAAGGGAAGTGAAGGTGTAGCGGACTTATGCGCCATAATGTTGAATGATTTTACTATCTCGCTGTAAGCACGGGCAAACCTCTCAGCGCGGTGGATGTCTCCTCGTGTCATCGTTCAATCGTATATGGTGCCTAGTGATTTTCGGATAACATCACTTCTTTAATTTGTGGGGTTAAGTGTCTACCGGTGTGGCTAGACCTGATTGCTCTATAATAGTCTTTTGCTGTTGTTGGTTTTCTTGGACGATTGAATGCATTTAGGAGGATATGTCACCAACTCGCACTGGATTGACGTCACTAACTAATGTCACTTATGTCGACATTTCTTCTCGTGCAGAGGAGACATTCAAGCAGGATTGATTGACACATTTTTGAACCTGGAGAAAATTGACAAAAATCTTTTTCTGTGAGTTGTGAGGAAGCTTTTTGTTGAATAACATGGAACCTTTGCTAAATTCAAGTCAGAGACTTACGACTTTAGCGCTCGTCATTTGTTGAAAGGACGGAATTCCTTACCAGTAGTGTATCGATGCTCAGGTTATTCGGTCAGGTATGGCTCGATTCCATACCTATTGCCTCGCATAGGAACAGTGGCGCGCTTGCAGTTGTGTGATATATCCCAAATCATAGGCACTTTCTGCTGCGACAGCCACAGTGAGTAGCGGATTTTTACCAAACAGTCTCCACAGCTATTTTGTTGCTGCAAACGCGGCTATGCTCTTCATAACGTAGATATTCTAATGTTCGTAGCGTTTTTAATATTATTGTTCGCATATTCTATCAATAGGAAATGTCAAACAATGCGCAAATGTCTTCTATATGTCGCCGTATCGTAAGACGTCCCGACGACAGTTTCTCGCAATCGTCCGTGCCAAAGCGTTCAAAATGGAGCGCATATTTTTACTAGTCGCAAATATCTTTGTCACAAGGTAAATGTGTGCGAACGTTTCACGCAAGGAGAACTAATAGTAGATGAATAGTCCAACTGTCACGTGTTATGCTCCCCTGATCTCATTGAGTCTTGTTCACCGTAGAGGATTCTACTCAGTAAGCTATTTCCGTTCCCCACGATGGCTAGTTTTCTTTAATCAAAGAATCTCAGGGCTGTGCTCAATTTTACCAGGACTAACCAGGAAAGGTCACTACGTCAAATTCGCCATTCAAAATGAGGTGTGCATTTTTGTTCGCGCCTCGAGACGCTGAGCTCTAACATTCCTCAATTATTTGTGCTAAACTATTCTCTGAACCAGTCCCCATGAAACCAGAAAAATCGTAGAGGTAGTGTTCGGCCTCACCCAGCAAAGAACCGTCGCAGCAGTTAACTACATCCCTTTAGCAGGCGGCCTGCCTTCTGTACGCTCTTGCAACAACGCCTGAAACGACTTTCAAGCATAGCCAAACCCGCGGGAGCTTGCTCCAAACTGACGCTTTGCCAGTGCACTCTGACATCACTCCCGCTACTTTTTGACTTCATAGGTGAGCTCAGGGTACGGTTTGGTGAATAATTCAAGCATATTTGAGCTAAGCGTCTCAACGCGCTTAAAAATGTTTACCTTATATCAGCGTCCGATTGCCGTGAACTGACCTTCTCCTGGGTGGTAAATCTATTGCTACCCAGCACTTACCCTTTCCTCACCTACAACCATTCTAAATAAAACATAACAATCCGATGTATTAGCCAACGTATTGTGGACGTCAAACCCAGTTATCATAACGGCATTGTGGATTTAATTGTAGGGCGTGCATTGAAGGTAATAAGCTCGACGGCGCTTTTGGGAAAATGTGTCTGGCATAGCATCTTCTATTCCTTTGTCCAATATATCTACAGGAATTTTTCTACACCTATTCAGTACACGCAAATCTTTTGGTCACCGAACCAGACTCAATTTCTCCTCAAAGTTGGAACATGCCCCTAAGTATCGGGTCCGAAGCTCTGACTGGAATCAGGCTAATGGAGGAGAGACGCAAAGAGGTTACATTAACTCAAATAAATGCTGCGTTTGGTTTCAAAGTAAAAATTGAGATCAGAATCCCCAATTGCATCAGCTGCTGGCGGCTATTATTCGCCTTTAAAACGCAAAGAATTCCAGCCTCCGCGTTCTTCAGGAATATTTTCCCGTTTGGGTTTTCGCCCTTTTATGGTTCTCTTGACATTCTTGAGATTTCTTTTTTCATTCACTCATACATTTTTCCAGTTTCTTATCCGCTGTGACTTAACTCCTTTTTTTTCACCAACACCGGCTTCAACGTAACAAAACCCTGACCAAGACCACAGCTTCCGTTTCCTATATGTGGATTAAGGCGAATGAGAAACTTATCGGTCGCGTTCCTCTTTAGTTAGTTACTCAATTTACATCCCTGATAAGGTCTAGCTTTTTTTCCGCTCATATAATCCTTCATTTCAGGGAGATATCGCCCGTTTAATGTCGCCTGCAAGCCCGCGTACTCTCTGATCCACAATGATTGAAAACTGCTGTTCGACCTCATACAGGTTAAGTCTTCCAACCTTTCATTTAAACAGCACCGTTTATCTCGCTGCGCGCCTGATCAAAATTTCGGGATCATACAGCCGTTAAGGCCACCTAAGTTCCATCACATTGCAGTCCCACTTGGCAGATGAAAATACTAGCACATCTGGTAACCTCGCGAATTCATTATGTAGATCAGTCGTATTCAAATTCCACTATGGCTTTCTATGGGAGTGTGGTACGTGTCAAAAAGGAGTTGACCAGCATCTTCCGTCTTTTGAGTATCTCTTTTAATGTTCGTTGTAGGTCGCGCAGGGAGCAAGGCTGTCCGCTTTCGTGACGAGGTGATGTTGGGTACCTGATAATTGATGACACTTCGTAAATGAAAATCTTTTAGCCCACGATTACAGATCTTGTGCGTTTTTGTGACGCGATTAATCCTTGAAAATTGTTATCGCTCAATTTTAAATTCGCCGAAGTGATTTCATGCTGAATGTTATGGATTCAGTGGGAGTAGAAATTAGGAACAGAAAGATTGTAGGAGTAAAGGATATCATCGACAAAAATATTATAAAGGGATAAAAGACTATGTTCAGTGTTGATATCGACTTTGATCCACGAAATCCCACCAGTTATTAAGTACCCAGGATCATTTCCTCAACGAGAGTGCTCGGCGCTGCTTCCAGATGGACGTAAGGCTTTTCGACCTGAACGGTGTGGCATAATTGAATTCATCCATGTGTGAAGCTGATCTTGAAATGGCTACCCATCATAATAAAATTGAGGAGCACCTCTTCGTTTGTGGGTGCTCATAACTCTCGTCTTTTTTAGAATGGGCTTTATTCCGTCCATGGCTTTAACGCTTGATCATTCTATATGGATGCACAGTGACCGTTTTCGCATCGATGACTGGCTGCTCTATGAAAACCACTCCACTATAGCTTGTACGTTTTTGCTCATTTATTTCATTTGTGTGCTTCTATTAGTCGAAAGGCTGGCTAATATCTATTGAACTTTTTTCGGATGTTACGCAAAGTTGCCCCGTGCTAAACAACATGGGAATCACGAGTCCCACACAGTTACAGTCGATATCCGAAAGTTGGGGTAGGCGTGTCACCGGAAGTGACGTGCACTTGATAGAAGTTGCGTGGATAAGCTGTTGCCAGCATGCTTTGCTGATATCCAGCGATGTATGCTTATCCACATAGCTTCTATCAAGTGCACGTCACTTCCGGTGACACGCCTACCCCAACTCTCGGATATCGAGTATATATTGTGTTATTGACAAATGAGAAAACAAATAAAAATGATAAAGGGAACCTGGTCTCTAACGATGACCTGAAATATTGAGATGTCCGTGAAGTCACAGTGTCTTCAAGTAACTCTTTGCACTAATCACATGTTCAGGTGGGGGTCGTACACTGATCGAAGGAAAACTGTGGACCCGCGATGGCCGTCTAGTGTTCTCCACAGCGCAGGAAGCCCTGATCCGTGCTCCAAAGAAAGTCGAGCAGCCGTCTAGCAATGGGAACTCGCACTAACAATGAGTCATTAACTGATATTTGATCTCTTTCTAGTCATATTTATAGCCATTCTAGTCAATATTTCCAACCTCTTTATCGTAAGCTTTACGACAGTATGTGTAATTTCTTTGTGCATAATTCATTCGAAGGGTATGCAAGTCATCTCTCAGACATGTTTTATGATAGGGTTTGTAGCTAGGAATAATAATAGTCTCCAAGGAAGTTTCATACTGAATTCGAAAACAGCAAGACGAATCTAATATTGAATGAATGAGAGTAGGTAGAGGCACGCAGTATAATTAAAAGGCATAGTAGAGGTAGCTAAAATTTTTCGTTGAAATCGACGCACCTCTGCTGCCTTTTTGGTAGCAAGTCGATGCCATTGCTCACAAAATTCATGACCCTCGAAAATCTCGAAAATTTTCAAGCCATCCGGAAATTGATGGCGGTATATTGAAAGTCGTAATGAAGCGAGTAGCGAGTATGCTACGTTGAAAGCCGAATGCTTCGTGAAGGCCGCCGTTCTGTTGAAACAAAATAATAATGGAAGAGATTTACATACCAAAAACAAAAACTGCAGAAATTGTGTCGATCCCGAAGAATGCTCTAATTATATTATTATCCTTTCATTATAAGTGCTTCCGGCAAATACTGCATTGTTGGAACACTTTTTGGACCTTTTTGTAGACTCTAATCGTTCTTCTATGTAGAAAACGGGAAGAGGGGGGAAGTAAGTTTTTAGGAGTTGATATTCGTAGAAATAGAACGTTGGTAATAATCAAATTCAAAAATCGTCACTAACTTGCTAAAATTAGATATTGTAAAGAAGGCAATTTCGTGCAAACTCATTATCATGTCTGATAATAAGCTTGGAGGGAAATGGTTATAAACTAATCTCAAGTATAGATCAATGGTGTGGCAGTGTAGCCATATCTTTGAATAGTTTACTTAATATTTTTTAGCAAGTAACGGCTTTTTTAAAACGGTCTTTTGCATGATATAGGGGCATGCGGGAACCACAGAACCATGTTCAATTTTTCCTGAACGGCCCTCTGAATACCAGAAAAGGGGGTCCCTAGTTCGATTCCTCGTGGTGACAAATTTTTGCATTTCGAGTTGACGTTTCCAAAATTCGCGCAAAATGGAGTTAGCATGAATAATTAGTACCATATTCATGATTAGGACCGTCAGTAACCCTTACAAATAGACTTTGATTGAAAAACCGGTGAAAGCAAAAGTGGTTATATCACAGTTTGCGGCCCGCCGTTTTGGTGTCACACCTTTTTCACCAGTTTTTTAATCAAAGTCTTTTTAAGGGTTACTGACGGTCCTAATTATGAATATGGAATTCATTGTTCATGCTAACTCCATTTTGCGCGAATTTTGAAACGTCAACTCGAAATGCAAAAATTTGTCACCACGAGGAATCGGAACTAGGGACTCCCCTTTTGTTTTAATTCAGAGGCTCCGTTCAAGGGAAAATCGATCAGGGTTCTGGCGGGCCTCCCACATTCCCCACTACTCATGGCAAAAAGCCATTTTGAAAATAACTGCACACCCTAAACGACCTCCCTTGAAAGCTTTGCGAACCGCTTGTCAGACTAATCGTAGCGACGTCCGTGAGCGATAAGTCCATAACAGGTGAGAGTTAGAATGAGCTGGGCGTTAGTCGCAAGCCGATGGGCATAGGCTGGTAAAGTTCTTGCATTGACTCCGTTTACATGACGTTCTGACAAGAACTGATTTATTCTCAGACAAAGATGCTTGTTTCTGGATCAAATAAATAGGGTGCTGTGAACTAGGCTATACTCAATTAGTTTGGCAATTATGCCGTGATATTTACTTCAAGTGTGATTAAACCATATTCGTGCGAGATCTGACAAATGTCATGATTTATAGACAGTATTCTGACACAAAAAATAGAATTAGAAAACCCTGGAATTATCGATCCTGTGGTCACCGACACGTTTTCATTAGGAAGCACATGAGAACTGACACTCGTCATCCGCGAGGTTTTACAGGCTGGTGTTTAGAGTCCGCAATTCGCGCGAATCGCGTGGCGGATGACAGAAATCACAAGTACCCACCCAATACTGCAAGGTGCTACTCAATTCCGCCACCGTTTTTCGTAATGGTACATGGTGACTGACGACTGTTCATGATTCTAACTTCTTTCACGTCAATGTTTCAGATGTTCAAATGGGGCACTTGCGATTTTGCGATTCGCGCGAATCGCGGGACGGATCGCGGAGTCTGACACCAGCCTCAGAGATACTTAATTCACTCACTAGTTGATTGAGAAGTTTGTGTTACGTAGATGTAAACTTTAAAAATGAGGAGCCGAGTCCGATACGAGACCATTTTGTGGTAGCGATTATAGCACTGTTTCACAATGACTTTCATGCTTAAGGCAGTGACACGATAATTGTGGGGCGTTGCGGTTTTAATGACATATTGAAGGGTGGATCCAGCGCACCTCCCAGCACACTGAGGGGTCTACTCCACCCATGACGGGGACATTCAATGACGTCATCCAAATTGCACAGCTCCGTCCGTCGCGATCACTATTTTTAAGATTCTGATTCAGGAGCTGCCTCGAATGACTGCCTATCACTCAAAGAAGCATCTAATTAGGGTCATGGCATCTATGCATGAAACCTATAGTTTGACATTCTGCCGACGAAAGCGTCAGAGTAACTCTGTTCGCTTTTCAACCTTTACCGCACTCCTACTTTAACTACTGGTTGACTTGTACTGAATGAAAATGTGCGCAATGCCTTTCAAATGGTTCTTCGAAGCTCGAGATCACGATCAAAGATAGCAAAAACCTCCTCTTTTCGTGCCACATGTTTGAAGTGAACGGGGGCGTCCGTGCGAGCTCTGTCCTTGTTAGGTAAATCAAGACTAACTGTCGGAATGGTGAGCTTCGCCCGAAAATCCAGCTCAGAGGAGGCAGAGTATATAGCTGAACGAATACAAGGAGCAAAGGTAGGTAGACAAACCAGACCGAACATACATATCGCTATGCTGCTACTGGCTTATTGAAAGAAAGTTGTCAAAGAGTAGATCAAAATCAAGAAACTCTTCCCGAGATTATGTCATACGAATATGTGCTTATTTGAATAGCAAAAGGAAAATTGCGCCTTCAGCTAAAGAGATTACACTCGGCGCGAAAGGGGTCAGGCAAATCTCGCATTGCGACGGCACGGCAACAGTCGCGCCGCGAGGTGACCTAGTTCCAGTTCCGTCGCAGTCTGGCCCTTGCCCCCTTGACAAGAGCCTTGAGTAGATAATAAATACACAAGATAAGTGCCAAGAAGCCTCTCAACGTACAGAGAGCAGCTCTTGACAACGAATGCGAAACAAACAGAATAGCAGAGATTACACCAATGGATAACATTTTTTCTACATAATGTGATTATTGTTGTTGTTAGATGCGGACAGCAATGCGATGAGTAAACGCATGTAGTCACCGCTGCACATCTGCTGAACGTCGTACTCAAGGGCGCGTTGATACTTGCGTTTGTACTCCTCACAAATGTCGTACAAATCGATCTGTAAAAACGTATATTTATTGTTGAATCACGGAATTCATCCTTTTTTCCATTTATGTCCATACTATTATTTTATATTACGTTTTTCCATTTTTTCCATTTCCATCTTCTAACATTTTGTACCTTTAGTCAACTCTTTGTAACCGTGAAAGGAAACAAGATTGTATCATTACAATCCTTTTCGATAGGTGGGGCATTCATGACGGTACCACTACCCAAATATCGGGTATCATTCATTCTTATAGAATGACTTGCAGGTCGCCAAATTGGTACTAAGCCCCAAGATGAACATCACGTCGAAAAGTGACCACTGCAGTGCAATCAGCCTCCGTAACCCTTTTCCTCCCTTTCACATGGTCTACCAGGGTGAATAACGGTCGAGGAATTCCTCGACCATGGCTCTGCTACTGCGAGAGTAGTGCCGAGAGTGAACGTACGCGCGGAGAGCACAGACGGCTCGCGCATGGCGAGTGTGAATGTCCGCGCGGGAGAACGTAACTGATCAGGCGAAAATCCTCGACGTGCCGTTGAGGAATCCTCGACCGATATTCACCCTGGTCAGTACGACTCCTCTGATCACCCGCATCGACAGTGCATAGTTCAACCTGTTGTACTCGTCCTCCTGAATTCGCTTGAAATCCTGAAAGGGAGGGGAGAAGAGCTTTTTCGTTTGACGCCGCCCTTTCGTTTTCTCACATGTTCCCCATTGCCTCTATCGACGACCCTTTCTTCTCGCGAAGGCACCTAACAGACGAAGTTCCGCCCTATAAATGACGTCATAGGCTGGATCCGCTTTTGCTTGTATCCATGCTCTATCGTCACCGGTTCTTTTCCCCGCGAACGCTCAGTATCTCT